ATAATACTGGGCCACTGCAGTCCCATATTGCCATAGCAGTCGTTCACTGAGAAGCGACACGTGAGTGATCCCTTCCCCCCACTGTGCCTGTTGATATACTTCGATGACTTGTAGAGACTATCAGTATCATGTTCTCAAGGGCTTCCCGTTGTGCCAATTATGGAAATGGGTTCAGACAGGGCCAAGGCCGAGCTGACTATGCAGTAGATTCCAGATCATTCCTTATAACAGTCATGTGCATGATACATGTGTCAGTCCTTATACATTCAAACTCCATACAAGTTAGTTTTCTATTAAACGTGAAGTGTAGTAGGAAGCGATCCTACGTGGCGTGTGTACACATCACATACACATGATACAGATCATGTATGGCAGCCTGAAAGGCGTGGGTGAATCTAGAGAGGACACCCACTCATTTGAGCTCTTTTCCAAACATCCTCAACAGGCTGCAAGCACCACTTGTCAACAAGCAGCGCATTCCTGGCATTATTTGACAACTACCACTACCAGTGACGTCGTCAACAAACAGTCCAAACTGGTCACGTGTACATGTGGCTACTTCGAAGTAGCACTACAATTATAATGTAGCTGCCAAGGTCAAGACTAAACTAACAACCTAACTAATTACTTTCAAGTTACTTTGGACAATGCATGCGCATTGCACAACAACGCAAGGTCGGTGTTGGTTAGCCCACGCTGTATTGCAGTATTATTGGTCTTTTATTAAGTTTTAATTTGTTTGTCCTCATCACTCAGTGTGCATGTGTTCGTGCGAGTGGGATGCGTATGGGATATACATGTACATGTCCATCAGACTACATGTATGTTTAGAATGTAGTATCACACACACACATACACACACACACGCACGCACGCACACACGCATGCACACACAATGTACACACATGGCTTACGACGAGTGTGTACATGTACATGTAACTCAGATGACCAGCAAAAGACACAATTACGGTACATGTACTTCGGACAGTTCACTAACGTGCTGAGTAGGGTGCAGACAAGGCAATTCAGGTCATTCTTTGCATCAGTAGTTCAGTCTGAGCAGCAGACAGTCAACTTTCATTTCGGTAGTGCCCTCTAGTAGTTCCCTTCAGCCGGGAATCTTGAAACACGGAAAAGCTAGCCATGACACATCCAAGGCTCATAAAATGATAAATGGTTTTCAATTATCAAAGGTAAATGCCGGTCAAAAGGAGGACAATCTGAGATGTTCCGTTAGTGAATAGGCAGCAAGAAGGTGTTTCCTCGATTTCCGTGACAGGTTGTGCTGGGCAGGAGGATCGGGCCCTCTCGACCTTTTTGCAATGCTCAATGATGATCTCCTACTTTGTCAATTCAGATACATATCATCATCGCCCATCGGAGTGCGTACATGTACATGTATTGTAGGCTAAGAACTTCGCAGTCACTCAGCTGACCTGTGCTGTTGGATGGCCTACTTCTGTCGTTGCATTATAATTTTATATTATACAATGGAAGTACAATTATCAAGATTGTACTGTTCAATGTTATTCAACTTACAAGTACATGCTATCTGGTTCGGCCTCATTTTCCTCTGTGCTGTGCTGATGAGTCGACAAAAGACGAAACAGTTCCGTCCACAGATAATGATTGAGCAAGTACATGATTGAGCACTGTACATGATTGAGCAAGTACATACATCGTACATGTAGGTCAGTGCGATCACTCAATACTAGCAGGGGGTCGTAAATGCCCGTAAATGCCCGGTTTTGGCACGGTTTTCCCGACTCCCTGATCTACAGTGGCCACGTACATGTGCCTATGCCATTGTGTGTCGGCTGATTGGTCAGGGAGCTAGCTACCTGTACGTCCGGGTTCAAACTCCGCTCTTGAGTTGGCAAACAATAGTCTCATGGCTAACCCCAGTCCATCTGGAACGTTCCAGGCCGGAATTTCGTACTTGTGCTAGTAGCATTCCGAGATATCAGGGCTAGCTGCAAATGGTCAGGGAAATTATGTGCCGGTGATAGCGAGTGGTAGCCGAAATCCGTGCCTCCACATTCGATCTACGAGTCGCTATATCAGTATATGTATGAAACGCAGTCATCTACTTCAGTCTGTTAGTGTTACATTAGAGCTCATCGAATCATTCGAAGAGGTCAGTTGATTACATCAAGTCTCCACACCAGTAGCAGCAGCATTTTGTCGTTCTGCTGTACTAAATGTGTTCTATTCACTTTCGAAGAGTTGTTCAGCCAGTCGCTGCACTAACATTATTGTCCTCTAGAGGAAGGAAGTTTACCTCACCCTAGTGCTGCTCTAGCTCGTCGAAAAGTAGCGCTGGCAATTTCTTCGTACGGGTGTAGGCACGAATGAGTAATTGGCGTTCGGGTGCAAGATCGTCACTTTCCGATTCTCGGAATCATGAAAAGCTCATCACCTTTGGAACAAACGTCGCCCTGCCTGGGCTTTGCACCAACAGCCAACCTGGAAGAATGGACAGATCACGAAAAGGCTGAAAGTTGTCTCTCTCCTCGTCCTGATCCCATAGTTGATGTGTCAGAGAAAGGGGAAAGCCCTAAAGTCTCGTTTGCGGAGCCTGACGATGTTGGTAGTGCGTCATTGGATGATGATAAAAGGTCTTACCAGGATTCTAGTGACAGTCCAACGCCACCAGAAGAAGCATCAACAACTCAAGCAGAGGCAACTGCAAAAGCTGATGGCAGCAAATCCCAGTCATTCAAGCGTCGCAAGAGTGTACAGCAACTAATCACAGGTTTTGACATGCTCAGATCATGCCTTGGCGTCTATCCACCTGATCGGCATGTAAGCAAGATTGAGACCCTGCGCATGGCAATGGCATACATACGAGATTTGGAGAAGCTGCTCCGAGAGTCTGAGCAAGCGGAATCAGCAGCAAGACCAGCTTCTCTCTACACTTCATGTTTTGCTCACCAGGGTCTTGGGGCTTTCCCAGGAAACCCGCCATGTCCTCATTATCTATATTCAACTCAGAATATGCCATTACCGTTGCCTGAACCAGTGGAAGTCGCCTTAGAGAGGCATGCAGTTACTGCAGGTACATCGAGAATCCTTCAGCAACCCTCAGCATCCGCCACTACATCACTCTCAGATGCCGGTCGTGATCCAGCTTTTCTCTTCCCATTTCGGAGAAACATGGTTCCGGGATCCTTTCTCAATCCACCACTTCCACAACATTATCAGTCATTGCAAGCATTGTGTGGCGTGGCAAACAGCAGAAGACAATTGCCATATTGTGGAATGATTTCATCAACTTCTGCTCCCAGTAACCTGTGTGGCATTGCCACTGGGAAAAGTTCCGTTGCGGATGTAGGAACGTCAGCACTGCCTGATATCAACATAGAACTTTTAGATGATCTTCTTGACCTTGATATGTCAACGTTCAGCTCTACGGGTACATTGCCTAGCAGCAGACCTGGACCTACCTGTATCAAATCTCCATCTCCACTAGTATCACCAAGTAGCTCTGTGTCATTGCCTACCACAGCCATGACGATGTCCTCCCAGAGCTCTCCCCGGCTACCCTGGCAGCAGCATCAGCAGCAGCAGCCTCAGCATGGAATTGCGGCACTGATAGCACCAAAAGAAAGTGTTTCAGCTGGAGCTACTGCATCAGCCATGGCAGAACGAGCACATGACGGAGATCTGGGTGATGACAACATGGAGACACTGTGTAATATCATGGAAGAAGCCAAGGAAACCAATGTTCTCGAGACCTTTGAAAATCTAGTAAGTCTATACATCATGAAAAATGTGATAAATTGAGCTCTCATGGTGAATTTTGGCGTGAAAATAATTTCCAATGTTATTAGGATTGATTTGTGATATTACACTTCCCAAAATTACATCATGCCAAGCACGAAAACTACTGGCCTGTATCTTGAACTATAGTCATGGGATTTAGAAAGGTGTAAGCAGTGGAGTTGTACATTTAGAGGAGATAATACTTTAGTCCAATATGGTGGGTGGACAAAATGCCAGCTGAAATGTGTGACAATATCCAGGACATTGCAATAATATTATAATGAACTTCGCGTTTTGTCTTCACACTATGGAGTGTGGAAATTGGCCACTGACTTAGTGTTCTGCTATGAATAGACATGGAGCTGCACTGACTTGAACCTGACCGCTGGAAGGAAAATCATAGAGGAGAAAGTGGTGGTATGTACACTACTTCCTGTCTCCTCTAGGCCCATTGTCACCTCTTGTCCTATTGTCATACATGTAGTTCTGCAACTGATGGTGGTATACTACGTAGATACTAGAGGGGGAGGTTGGTGCATTAGCATTGCAGGCACTGTTTCTAGTCTTGGCTTACACCCATATAGGTTGTGTTGTGGTGATGAAGTATTGGAGTATTGAGAAAGGAAGTGAATAGCAGTGGAGACGTATACGGAATGACCACTCATTCAAGATTTTCGAGCACCCTACATACATCTTGCCCATGTATGATAATTATGATTGATGAACATAGAGATAAATCTGGTGAAAGACTGGGGATACGCATCTCAGAAAATGAATAATACACTTGAAACTCCTAGAGACCTGTGTCAATCACTGAATCAGTCCCGTGGCCGTGTGTGCATCACCATGATTGTGTTGGGTTAAACTGTGTTGCCATACCCCAGAAAGCAATGTGCCTGTATCATGGCGGGATGTAGAGAGCGAGCAGTGACGGAGTGAGCAGTGCTGTCGCGTGTATAAGCCTGTAGAATGCATTGCCACGGTAGTGTTCATGGCAGATGCATTTGTGTGGTACACACTTGAAGTTGTAGGAAATCACCTTTCCCACACCAGACCCTTTGCACAGAGGTGTCACAGAGAGTGACACCATATGCTCATGTTATTATGTTCCCAGATTTCTCTAACGTCAATTCAAAGCGGGGTCTTCTTGGTACGAATACTTCCTCTTCTCATTGAAACACTTTGTTCAATAGCAAGTTTTCGGTCCAAAATTGTCCTCTCTTCTGGTTGACCATCCAGTCCCGTTGGGAAAGTCAAATAATTTCTTGTCCCAACTTCTCCCCACCTAATTGTTTTAGGCCAAGGCAAGGCCTAATATGATGTATGTTCAGCGATGTCTTCATTGTCCTGTCAGCTGAAACTTTAGCCGTGGACTCAAACTGATCTTGCCAGGTTTCCCGGGATGCTGTGAATGTACAGTCCTAGGATAGTTCTGTGCCAGTATCAGAACTTCTTTTATTGTCCATTAAGTAGCACAGGATACTTACGGAAGTGTTGAGTAATCTCGGAATGATAAAGTTGTTTGAACTGAAGTTTGGGTAACCCATCATCGGATTGCCTCTTTTCAGATAATTTTATGTTATGTCTCCTGGAAGCTACATGTATGTGTGCACGCACGAATACATCTACATGGGTTAACATGCAGTCAATCAACATACATGTACATGTACATCAGACCATCAATGATGTTGGTGATCATGAATTCCATGCATGAAGGCATTCAGTGCATGCACAGAAAGATGGCCAGCAATGCACATACATGTACATATACCAGTAGTGCAGCTTCTTCCACATGCTCATTCTGAGATACCTGAACTAACACGTTACTTGGTGTGACCTGACAGGCTCATACAACTCTCCTGATATTCTTGTATGCTGTGTATCTGCAGATATCAAAATCTCCAAAATCAACTATATGAAATGGCCAGTGGCTCCGACCCAAGACAAGACTTGAGAGCTGAGATAATATGTTCAACCTTGCAAACTGACTTGTGATTACGTAGGTGATAGTGTCGTGGGCATGATTATCATGTTCACAAGTGGCAGAAATTATTACACTACCACATCTTTGGTGAAATTCTTTACGAAGCAGCAGTGGCTTGAGCTGATGTATAATGTATAGCATTTGAACTTACTACTATATCCAGTGACCATCGTCGCTACCACTGTGTTCAGCTAGCACTGCATGAGATTGCTTGAGAAAAAGATTAAAAGAAATATTCGAGTGTGATTTGTTTGTATTCGGTAGAGATGAGGTATTTTACGATGGCTCAGTCCTCAAGTATTCGAGTCATTTGGTTTGTTTGACAGTATGGCCAGAAAGGTATTCTGAGCAGAGTTCTTTAATTACTATTAATATTTTTGTGGGAGCGAGAAAACGTATTCGTCATTTACTGCTGTAGTTGTACATGAGCAATGTGTGATGTCAGCACATGCAGACTGTACTTCAACGGGTACTGATAGATTGCGTGGATCTCCTTGCTTGCATGCGAGTAGCTACATGAATGATTCTAAACTGTAATGTTACAAACTGCTCCAGTGTTCGGAAGCTCCATTTGGAGCCAATTTGTAAAACATTATTGTTTTGTTCATGCCTTCATGGGGACACCATCAGCACTATCACCAACACCACTGCAATCTCAGATCCTGGAGGACACCATGTTCTTCTCTCTAGCTCTCTCTCTCTCTCTCTCTCTCTCTCTCTCTCTCTCTCTCTCGGTATTTTCCCTTCACAACGGCGAAATTAGGGCCTCGGATGAAGCCTCCTGGCAAAGGCAAAACTTTGACATAGGGAGTACAATATCTTAGGCCATAGCGGTGGTAATTGTTTACAGTGAAGAATTGCACTATAAACTGATTCAGTCCTCCCAAAGAAATCACAGTATACTGTTTATGCAGTTGGGAATGCATGATAAGAGGAAACATGATAAGAGGAAACATGAGAGACGCCCTGTGGTACAAGTTATACGTGATAGTCCATCGACTATACCGGATATTAGAACAGACGGTATGCAATGTAGTTGGTGGATTCTAACGCATAACCTGCGCCCCAGTGTTTCACTCTTTCTTGTATTCATGTTATTTTACACCGCAAGTCAAATGGACAATCATGCCAAATGTCGTGATGACGATGGAAAGGTAGAAAAGAGAAGATAACTTGGATATGTTTTTGCCTATGAAGAATTAAAATATCCCTGGCTCACCTTCTGAGGTGTATGATTAGGTTGAATATTCTGACTCACTCATCTTGAATCTCGACGGTGTTTTCCAGCAGCAATGCTGTTGAATGTTATAGGCATACATGTATGTGAAACTTTCGAATCAATTGGAATGGAGTTCCACTGCCTTGGATAATATTTTGTCATTCCTTTACTTATCAAGACAATCAGAATGTTTGGCGGACAAGTCCGATATCAAAATTAAAATTTATTGCCAAAACCGCGCAACGTAGTCAACTCCAGCATAGCTGTTGGCTCTGCCAGCGCGTTAGATGTTGCAGCCGCCGTTGTCGATCTCATCATCTTTCTCAAAACCGGGTCCCTTCCTGTCGTTGCAAGGTTAGTGGGTTTTTTTAGGCTGTTTCTTTGGCGGTCTGCCAAGCTTGAGATCCGTGGACTCCATTGCTAGTCATTTGTTGGAGCATCCTGAATGTCGTTGTGTGTATTCAGATGATTGTTGTCCTATTTTGTCATTTGTACGCAGTGTTAAGTTGTTGAATGTTTTTAAGAGAGCTGTGTATATTAACACAAAGAGACAGAACCTACCGCGGTACCGGTATGTAAGCAACAGCAGATTAGATTCACACATATGCTGTTAGGCAGGTCATCAAGAACTCGTTAGATATGTCCATTGGTGGCCTGTTGTTGTCGCACTCCACTCCACGCTTGTTAGGTTCCCTCACTTGCACCCTATTTTTCTCCTTCTCTCTTATGTGTATGATCACGCATCTATCGGTGGTTGGTTTAGCTCTTCTTCCTTGTGCTGTTTCTATCGCCTCTATACTGTACTGAATCCATTCTCCTTGCTCCTTTGCTCTTGCCATTATTTCACCAAAGTATACTCGTGAAAACTTTCGAAATGTTGTTCAAGAACTCGAAGTGTGCTTTGTTCTACGTATTATAGGTTTTTGTCTCCCAGGAAACTGCTCACGAGCTTTTTTTGAATCTGTATTGCAAATTTATGAAATCCAATTCCACTGTGTGAATGAGAAATTGTAAACAGCATGTTGCTCTGCAAGTAACACGAGTCTGACACAAAATATTAATTTTATGTCTCATGATCTACGGTACGTGTAGCCGTGAAGTTCCAAAGACTTCTGGTACCACAATAGGATTGGCGTGGGCTTTATGCAAATACATCGATCATCATCAACTCATAATCCAGTGTTTCAAGAAAGCACCAACATGACTCAGATCACTTTGAGTGTGAACTGGACAAACCCTCTTCTCTGGCGCCTACTCTGGCTCGCCATACATGTACATGTATAATGTACATGCGAGAATGATCTCTTCCCCTGGCTTGAGTGTGCTCTGCTGGGCGACTGATGGACTACTGCCACTGTTTACTACGATACTCTAATACCCTTGACAATGCATGTTCACAGCGGGGAGTGCCTACAGGTGTTGCATAAGCTCAGACTCAGAGTTAGAACAGAATACGAGTGGTCGGATAATCACCCCCCCCCCCCCCTCCATTACACACACAAACACGTGGCATTACACCATGACTGTATTCATTGGTTTTTTTCTATATACATGTATGATGTAGCTACGCAGGGCTAGGCTGCGGCATTGCCTGCACCATTTCCCAATTGCTGGTGTCTGTAATCGGAGAGTACAATGTACCGGTACCTGTTATAACACGAGTTCTAGCAAATATTCATACTACATGTAGTAGTGTAGCGTCTCTGACGTTCTCGCATCATGACATCATCATTTGTTTGCATGTACACGTCATATTTTCCTCATCATCACAAACACTGATTCACCATACTCTCGCACACATTGTAATACCTACTACACGTACTTCGCTACCATAATAATTACGTAATGTTTGGCTAGCATAGTTCCAATACACATTACGACATCTTTTGATGTTACGCACTCCTCGCCTACAACGCTATTGTAGAAAAGTAGTCTTTACTCATCTCTTGTAAGTTCTGTTTGCATCCAAACACTTCTTCCAAACAGCACACGTCAGATATCTAACAAAACAACAAACTTCATTACACAGTCTTCTATCACAATCTCTTTCCTATATAAACCTCCTTTCTCTTCACTTTCTTCAGGACATTTAGTGTTCGCCAGTCTTGTAAAGATCTTGGAAACTAACACTCGTTGCACTGTATCTAGACTACTAAATTGGTGACCCCCGACGTGAGTAAAGTGCAATATGTCCAGCAACGCTGGTTCTTCCGCTTCCGCTCGCTTTCGGGCAGTAAGTCTCTAGACCCGACTATCCTGCGCGAGCTGTTTGTACAGCGTTTGCCCGTGACTGGTGCCTCAGCCTGGCCGACCTCGCGCCGCGCTTGCTGACAAGATGGTTGATAGCACGTGCTCAACCCCACTCACCGGTACAAGTGTTCACGCTCTGACTCTGAGTGCAGCCCCTGCTCGGTCTAGTACGGCCCTATCATGTAGATCTACAGCGTCCACAGATGCGGAACAGGCCTGCACCGCTGACAGGGCTGAGATGGCCCAGCTCCGAGCTGAACTCGCCAAGCTGACGTCCGCTGTGAATGTGATGACCCGTGACACCGGTGCCCCTTCCCAGCGTGGCCGCCAACGAGAGCGTAGTCCCGGGCCACCGTCACGCCACCCAAGTGCCTCCAGGTCTCCCGGCCATGACAATCACGACGACCTTTGCTGGTATCACCGTGCGTTCGGTGCGAAGGCGAACAAATGCCGAGACCCCTGCCGATTCCTGTCGGGAAACGGGAAGGCCAGCCACTAGTCGCGACCGCTAGTGTGGTTGGCCCCTCGAATACCGCTACCGGTCGCCTACTATTCGTCAAGGATCGCTCCCAGTCCGTCGAGTTCCTTGTCGACACCGGCGCCGCCGTCAGTGTTCTTCCTCCGTCATTCGTAACTCTGTCTCGTCGTGTTCATCGCAATAGTCCTCGTCTCCGTGCAGCGAATCAGAGCAGCATCGCCACGTACGGTCAGCAGCTGCTAGATTTAGACTTAGGTCTCCGACGCACTTTCAAATGGGTCTTCGTCGTTGCTGACGTCAGCTATCCGATCCTGGGTGCGGATTTCCTTGGCCACTTCCAGCTCACTGTCGACCTGGCCGCCAGATGTCTCCGGGACTCCACTACTCAACTTGCCGTTGTCGGATTCACCTCGGATGTCAGCACCTCCGCTACCAACCTGCTGGACACTGACAGCCCTAGTGAGTATTCTGCCCTGCTGAGTGAGTTTCCTGACCTTGTCCGACCGACCACTGGTGACTCGCCTGTCAAGCACAATGTGACGCACCGCATAGTCACAGATGGCCACCCCGTCCACGCTAAGCCTCGCCGTCTGGCACCCGACCGCCTTGCTGTCGCTAAGTGTGAGTTCCAACACATGTTAGATTTAGGCATTATTCGTCCCTCCTCTAGTGCATGGTCATCCCCTCTGCATATGGTGCCAAAGAAATCCGGTGACTGGCGACCCTGTGGTGATTACCGAGCCTTGAATGACTGCACGATCCCCGACCGCTATCCCATCCCGCATATTCAAGACTTTACGTCCCACCTGCATGACAAGATCATATTCTCTAAGATTGACCTCGTCCGTGCATACCACCACATTCCTGTGCACCCTGACGACATCCCGAAAACTGCCATCACCACCCCCTTTGGACTGTTTGAGTTTGTCCGCATGCCCTTTGGCCTTCGCAACGCAGCCCAGACATTCCAACGCTTCATTGACCAGGTAGTTTCAGACCTTCCCTTCTGCTTTGCATATCTGGATGACTTGCTTATTGCTAGCGCCTCACCCGCTGAACATATGGCCCACCTTCGCTGCATATTCTCCCGCCTTGCTTCACATGGCATCTTGATCAACGTCCGGAAGTCGCAGTTCGGCCAGGATGAGCTTGACTTCCTGGGACATCACGTGACTGCCTCAGGTATCCGACCTCTCGACGCTCGCATGACCGCCATTCGTGAATTCCCACAGCCAGCTAGTGTTCGTAAGCTCCGTGAGTTCATCGGCTTCGTCACGTTCTATCACCGATTTCAGCCACATCTTGCTGCTAAGCTCGCACCTCTGCACGCTATGCTTGAGAAACGCCACCGCACCAAAGGCGCGCTCGTCTGGTCCGACTCGGCCCTCGCTGCTTTCAATGATGTCAAAGCTGCGTTCACTGATGCCATCACACTTCACCATCCTCGCCCGGATGCCGCCTA